ATAATATTTTTAGGATTTCTTTTCCGCACTATTCACTATTATGTAACTGCTCCAAAGCTCGGTAATAGCTTAGGTTTACATTTCCGCCTTTATCTCCTTCTACTATATTTTATGCAATGCTTAGATTAATAGGATTGTATGGAAAGATAAAAATGAATGATAGAAAACCCTAATTGCAAGATAAATATAACTGAAAAAACACATTGTTGCACACTTGCACCCCTTGGGTACTCCCCACTTGGTTGCCTCGGAAAACAATGGTCATGTCCCTCGAACATAGGGATATCTTAGCAAAAGACTCTCAATCTAAAAATCATCATAAAGATCATAGTCCCTTAATGTCCCTCGAGTTGCGTACGAGAAATGATCTTGTTCCTCGATGTTGCCTACGAATATATGATGACAGTCCCTTCGAACTGCTAAGGTATCCTTACATGTTGCCTTCAATGACCATTACGTCCATTTCAATAGTTCCTCAAACATCCAACGACTAGGGTTACCTACTCACTAATAGGATGATAACACGGTCTAAAGGATAGGAGGAAAAGAATGTCTTTTTTCGAGTAGGTAGATAATTGTTAGGTACTTGCTCAAAACGACAAATCTTTTACACCATACACTTTCAAACAAACTTTTCAAATTAAAATTTTCAAAACACTTCGTAACACTCTTGAGGATAGAAACAAGAGTTAAAACGAAGTAAAACGAAACTTTTCAAAACAAGCACACACAAGAAGTTTTCAAAATGAGCAAGTACCTAAGAGCCCATGAAAAACCATGGATAGAAAGGGTGTTAACACCTTCCCTTTCTATAATCTACCCCTCGTACTCAGGATCATCTCGAAAAAGGTTTTTTTTGTTCTTTCTCGTTTTCCTGATTGGATAAAATAAAAGTCGGTGACGACTCTTGCTTACTGCGACATTTTACGAACAAAAAACGTAAACCAGTATTAACAGTCGGTTCTGCCATCGTATCACATGGAGCAAAACAGACGAAAATGGAAGAAATAGAGCTTTTTATACTAACGTCCATCACCATGGCACTCGCCACAGAGGTGGCCATGACGTGGATAAGTGAAACCCACGACCCAATAGCCAAAAAGACCAAGTATGTCCATTTTGTGAAGGTTGTGTTCGCCACCAGCCCCATGGCGTTTGCCATGACGTCCAAATGCTTAAAAGTAGCAACTTCCCATTATCTCCACTTTCTGCAACTTCTCACTATCTACATTTTCTTCCACTTTCCATTATCTCAACTACTTCTCACTTGAATCTTAAAGTAACTTTAACCATTTCTCATTTTACAAGGCATACAAGCTTATTTACAAACTTAAGCCATATATTGTCGAATTTGTAAGCGATTAACTCTTCACATTGGAGAGTTATCACACTGTTGATCGAGTCTGTACTCAAGCTTGGATCGCATTTACTTTGAAGTTACTTATCTTTCCGCCATTTACATTTTTTCTAAGTTTATTTCCTCCGTTTACTTTCCGTCAAAGTTTATTTTTGTTGTACCAGATTCAAGCCTCTGTTTGAAGTAAGTTCTTATTTAATTCAGCATTATTTATATTCTGTCTATTTTACTTTACTTCGCACACTTATTTTACCGCACGTTCTTTTTCTACCTTTCTTTTAATTGCACTTTAAATCTTTTATGTTTATCTTATTCTTTTCCAAAATCAAATCAACCACTTTAGTTTATGTTACAATCATGTCTAGATAATTTATAAGTGTTGGAATGTGAAGATCGTTGATTCGACGGTACTCTGAGTTGTAGTTCTTTGCGAGAAACTATTGGGGTTGTTTTGGTTTTAATCACAGCTAAGAATAAAGTTGTTTAGTTTTTAATTGATAAAAACCGCGAAAGCTATTTGTTAATTAATTAAGAGAGTCTAATATTTCTAGAAAGTGATTTTAAAACTATTTACGAAAGTGTACCGTTTATAGTTTTAGGATCTGGTTACCTGAGTGGAAGCCAGGAATCCTTTTAAGTTAAACTGTCCAATAAAAATTACTTTTTGACTTAGTTAAGAGTTTAATTTCTTAAAAACAGATTTACTACTTTAATGCGATAAGCACCTTCCATAAATGACAATGGTGGGCATAAATTAGAGAGTAAACTCGGTTTTGAATACGTGAAAGCGACAATTCCTGTTAAATGGATTCTTTTCAAAGTAGAAAATATTGTCCCATAGAAATTCAATTTATGAACAACAAGAGTAGCAACGAATTGATGTTATCCATATTCCAACATTGCTTTTCTATTATTGATTCAAGTCTTTTATTTATGTTATTTTCACAACTCCCATTTGTATTTTATTCACCTTAGATAAACTTTGTAATGATAGAAAACGATAGATTTGACTAGTGGTCTATGTGGTTCAATATATTTTAAAACTACACATGCTTTTATAATGAGAGACACAATGGAGATTTTTTATGTTTCACGTGGATCACTAATGATAATGTCTTGAGCATTGATAGTCATGAAATGAACGGCAAGGATTTAATTGAGGATTTGATAAATGTCTTCAATTTTAACGCTAAAGGTCCCCTTGGTTATTTAGGAAATCGACGGGTTAGAAAATTTATTTTTAAAATAAAAAGTACAATTAAAAATAGAGGTTCCAAATTTATTTTAACGCTAAATTTTCCCTCGATCTTTAGGAAGACCGACATGTTAGAACATTTAAATACAATTAACAGAGAAGTTAGAACACACACGGAGCGCACATGCATTGGAATTATATCACTAAAATAACAATCATAAGCTATATTTAAGTCGTAACGTCTCTTTTAGATTATCAAGGAGGCTTTTGAGCTATTTAAACATCTAATTACCAACTCATTGATTCAAAGTCTTTTTCTATTTTCAACGTCTCATTACCAACTCTCTATTTTCTTGTTTCAAAGTCCTTTTTTATCAAAAATAGATGCAAATCTATTGTTCGTTATCAATGAAAAGTATGTCAATTTCAATGATTTCGAAAGTTTACAAAAAAAGTTGATGGAAGTTGTTAACAAACATAAGTTTAGTGGTTACGTTGACATTCTACATGGACCCATATACACTAACCTCGTTAAAGAGTTCTGGATAAATGCATCTGTGTGCCAGCTGGTCATGAAGAAATCATTCAGTCTTATGTCAATGACACTCCTTTATACATTACTCCATCACTGATTTCTTTGACAATCAATTATGAAGAGTTTGCTAGTTGTGTTGAATATTATAAATCTAACGTGTCTATGCAAACCACCTTCACCGACTTTATGCCAAAGATACTAATATCTCTAGTCATGCTTCTCTACGTCCTATTGTAAAATTTTGGTTTCAACTTCTAGTGTCAAATCTCCTCCCAAGAGAGAAAGACCTGGAAAGACTTTCTTGGCATGACAATCATCTCTTGTTATTCCTCATCTACAACATGAAAGTTAATCTTCCTCTTACCATTTGCAACTTCTTGAAGGAAATGATAAAGTCTTCTCAGAAGGAGAAGACTTTCCTCTTACCTTGTGGAAGAGTTCTTTATGTATTTTTCAATAAGTTAGAGATGGGGTGACGCTGAAGTTGAGTGGACTGAGAAGTTTGAATTTGTTGAGTAGTTTTCTTTGTTGTGTTGCTTTTTTTTATCATCAATGAAATATTTCCTTTTATTATTATTATTGCCTATTCTTGTGATAAATCGTTGAAAAAAATATTAAATGCGACAATGAGGATTCAAAGTGAGGTTCCTTATAGCTATATTGCCTCGGTTCTAAAATAAAACTGAGATAACATATTTATTATTATTTTAAGGATTATGAAAGGTGCTACCTTATAGTTGAGTTACCTTGGTTTTTTATAACACTGATGTAACATGTTGTTTATCTTATTAAAGCGCTCACATATCATATTCTCTCGATTTTAGCTAGTTGGACATGAAAGCTTCGTCATAAAATATATTATTTGTTGTAGTGTTTGCAAGCATCAATGTCTATCCCTTCATTGCTTTCACACACATTTGTTGAATTAAGATTGCTTGCAATTTCACCTTCCACAATACAAAGTCATTGTTTATGGAAAAGCTTCGATATCCCATTTGAAACGCATGGAGCTCAATTATAAATTAACTCTTTTGTCCCACGATGGCCACCACTTATTGTGAAATTGAAAGATTCAATCATACTAAAATCTTTGATGTGTGGGACAAAGAACAATTACAATCAAACAAATAGATTCAGTACAATAAAAATATAAAAGACGAGAACACAAAGAAATTATTTTCTCAATTCTATCAAATCTATCTACTTTAGAGGAGAAACTATGACTCTTCGATTCTCTATGCTTTAAAATTGTTACAAAAACCTCCCTTCGTTTAATGAAGCTTGTTTTTCCATCACACAAAAAAATTTGTTAGAAAAGATCACAAAATGTGTTAAAAAATAGTTTTTAAAATTCTCAAAAACAAATTATATTTTCTCTCAAGTGTATTTAAATTTCTCCAACTTCATATATAAATCACACAAACCCTAGTTATTAAAATATCTCTTAACTCTGGTGAGCCATACAACTCATTTAAATTTTTATTTAATAAAAAATTCCATCCATACTCAATATGTTGATCCTCACACCTAAAATACTATTAGCAAAAGCATATTAACACCAATTCTTGAGTTTCTGACTCTCGAAAGACCATTTGTTCCTTTACGTCATGGAAAAGAAATTGCAAAGACGTGGTTCATTGGTTTGTTTCACATGTAATTTAAAACTCAATTTTTTCTATTTTTATAAATAACCTATTGAGCTTGGATTGGACCGATCACAACTCACCAGTAGCTGCTAATTTGTGATGTGTTTAACTTCTACAACTATACTATCTAACCACTATTATAAATAAAAATTATCTTTATATCAATCATCTTATTCTTCATCCATTCCTTTCACATTTCTAAGTCTTTCTTAAAACACTTTTGTTCCTTGTTGAGTTTGTAAGTTACCAATAATCTTTGTTGACAAAATGAGTGGAAGTTCTTCAACACGTGAGAATATGGCTGCTCCTATATGCAATTGTGAAGAAAAGTGTGTCATATTCATATCAAAGACACCTAAGAATCCTAACAGACGTTTCTTTGGGTGTCCATATTTTAATTTTCAGGTAAATCATTTAAAAAATTATTTTAAGTTTAATTTAATGTACTATTAATTTCTTGTCGATTATGTTGTAGGAAAATATGTTATATTGTGACTATTTCATGTGGGAGGATGACTTCATTGCATACCAAACTACAATGGTTGAGTTGGAGCAAACCAACAAGGAGAGAGATGTGATAAACAGTGACATGGGAGTTAAAGTTAATCAATTTGAAAGTGATATGGAACACAAAATTAATGTGTTAGAGAGGGATATTGAAGTCATGAAATTTCAGAGTGAATCACAAATGAAGAGAAGGAATTGGAAAAAGTACGTTGGAATAGTAGTGCTTTTGGTTGTTGCTTTGGTTATAGTTTTTTGTATTTGGAAGCATACAAAATTGTTTAAGTAATTATGTGTTAGACTTTGGATATTGTGTTTGTTTTGTTTGAAATAAATAATGTGTGTAATATAATGAAATGAGTAGACTTTCATTGAATTATAATTTGAACTTGTTTGCCATTATTCACTTTTGTAATTACATATTTTGCATAGTAATAGATGATTGGAAAAAGTAGAGACAACGGTACTTCACTATCCAAACTATAAGACATAACTAGATGAATTAGTGAAAATGAAAGTTTGGATTTGACTTATCAAATTTCACTCATGCAAATACGTAACTACATAATAATTTGACGAAGTAATAGATGTATAGTTAAGGAACATTAAACGATAAGTGTATTCCTTATCTCTATCAAATGTTTGTCCTATCTTGCACTACTACAAAATATATTTTTTACCACAATTGTAAGAAGGATTTTACCACAATTAAATGTCCATGATAAGAAATGGTGTGATAGTTAGTGTTTTACATTCCACAACGAGCAAATTGTCATAGTAAAAATTATATAGTGCACAATATATAATCACAGTTTTGAATTGACTTAGAAATTAATAATATGACACATTACACTAGAAAAAATCAACCTAATTATAAGAAATATTTATTAAAAATCTCCTAAATTTGTATTACATTTGATATTTATTACATTTTATTAACAAATATTCGTTTGTTTTAATGGAGTCAGAAAAATTTCCCCTTAAAAGTGACATAATATTACTTTTCTTCGCTATCCCGCTCATATTTTCTAACACAAGGGTGGTTGTTTTTTTTCTTTTTTCAAAAAAATAAAAATAAAAATATATTATAGCATAAAAGTAAAAATACTTTTCACCAGCTAAGATAAACACATAAAAGATTATGATGGATGGGGAGTGGCACACAGCAACTAGGAAGAGATGGAAACCAAAGGCAAGATGGGACTCAAAGGTAAAGGGAGATCATCAGGATGTGAACAAAAGCTCAGGCTCATTCTTCTCCACGGAAATACCAGAGGACATGGGTGTAAAGGAAATGTATGAAGTCTTTAGCGAATACGGTGAAGTGGATGAAGTAGTGATACCACCGAAGAAGGATATAAGAGGCAGGCGATATGGTTTTGTTCGTTTTTTTTACGTGTAAGAACCAGAGAAGATGGCAGTAAAACTGGATAACATATTCTTGGGGAGGAAGAAGATTCACGTGAATATACCAAGGTTCAATAGAGGACAACCACATAAACCCAGAAACCAAGGAAGGAAAAATGCAAAAGTACTAGGGAAGAAGGATGATGGTTGTGTCAACAATGGAACAAAAGCGTCGGATCTTAACAGAACCTATGCACAGGTGGTTAGGGTGGGAGAAAGAAGCCTTTGTTCACTCATATGGAGTTTGACAGAGAAATGGAAAACTTGGCCAGATTTGAGAAAACTTTTGTGGGTATAGTGGAAAATCCAGGCATGACTTATAATATCCAAGAATCTTTTAATCTGGAGGGATACTTCAATATTAAGGCGACACCATTAAGAGCTAACCTTTGTCTCTTTGAAGAGTTGGTGGATGGGGAGTTGGAGTATCTGGTGAAGGAGGCGCAAGATTGGGTTGGGCAATGGTTTAAGGAAATAAGAAGGTCGAAACCTAGCGATGTGGATAACGAAAGAGTGACATGGTTGTGGTGTTACGGGATCCCTTGTCACCTTTGGTGTTCAAAATTATTTCAATTCCTTACATCACCAGCAGGAACGTTCATTTGCATGGATGAAGATACCAAAAATCACAATAAGTTAGATGTTGCTAGAGTCATGGTGAGGACTAAGTACAACTTGGTGTTAAATGAAACTTTTAATATTGGGGTAAACAGAGAAGCGTTTTCGATCAAGATTGTAGAGGATTCCCAGGGGCCGTTGAGAATTGTGATGGCAAAAAATATGGCGAAGGAAGAGGTAGAGAAGAGGTGACAAGAATAGATACCATGGGAAAATAAGAAGATGGTGTGTATTGCGGAGAGCCAACAACAGATTCTGAAATAGCACAAGGAAATAGAAGATTCATGGAAGATTCAAACAAGGTAGTAGTGATAAAGATATGGAAGGCGGTGGGTGAATTAGGGGTGGCGGGACAAGAGAAGGATGAAGAGTATATCGAAGCAGTGACAACTATGGAGGTCAGAGATAGAACTGAGCATTTGAAACAGCAGGTGAACTTGGATGTTGGTGGACCATGAATCTAGTAATTTTCAACATCAGGGGGGAGGAAGTTCAATAAAAAGGAGAGTCAGAGAAATTCTTTCAAAAGTAGGAGCAGATGTTTGTTTCTTACATGAGATAAAGATTACGGGAATAGTTGAGTCGGTAGCTATTTCATTCAATGGTAATTCAGAGATGAACTAGTCGGCATTGGATTCTATTGGGCGTCGGAAGGTTAGAGGGTGATGTGGAAGAAGGAAGTATTATCTCCTTTATTCAGTTTTAGAGGGAGAATTTCTTAGGTATCAAGGCAATGTTCAAAGGCAAGGTATGTTACTTTGTAAATGTTTATTCTTCTTGTAACATTTAATTGAAGAGAAAGCTTTGGGAACAACTGATTAATATTAAAAGGAAATGGATGGATGGGGAATGATGTGTAGTTGGGGATTTCAACTCCATAAGAAGTCGTTCAGAAAGGGTGGGTTGTGAAGAATGTTGAATAAACATTAAATGTGTTAGTAATAAGTTTTACATTAAATATGGTAGTATGAAGGACAAAAGTTTAGTAAGTTATAATAGTAAGTTATTAGTAGCAGTTATGTTTTAGTTTATGTTTTAGAATTGTAAAAACTATTTGGGTCTATAAAATACCAAGAGTGTATTTTATTTTACAAGAGCAATATAGAAGTTTTAATATAGAAGCCTGATTCATTTTATAACAATTTGGCATCAGAGCTCATGGCAAACATGATGAATCAAATGTCGTTGCCACGGCTAATGAAGTCTAATTATGAAAACTGGAGTATCCAAATGAAAGCTCTTCTTGGATCTCTAGACGCGTGGGAAGTGACCAATGATGGGTTTGAAGAACCAACAGAAGTTGGGGGATATACAGCAGCTCAAACGAATGCGTTGAAAGAGACGCGATCGAAGGACAAAACGGCATTATACATGTTGTTCAGGGCTGTAGATGAATCAGGCTTCGAGAAAATTGATGGTTCGACTACGTCGAAACAAGCGTGGGACACGTTAGAAAAAGTGTTCAAAGGAGCACACTACGCCAAAAATAAGTTTTAGCAGCGCCTCTACTAAAGCGCTTATTGAAAAAGCGCTGCCATAGCCTTCACAAAAAACAAAATTAAAAAAAAGGAAAACCTACGAAGGCGCTTTTTTAAAAGCGCTGGCATAGGGTTACCTACGAAAGCGCTTTTCAGAAAGCGCTTTCATAGGTATTTGAAATATCTAACCTACGAAAGCGCTTTTGAAAAACGCTCTTATAGGGAACCCTATGCCAGCGCTTTTGAAAAGCGCTTTGATAGGGGGACCTACGAAAGCGCTTTTTACCTCAGAAGCGCTCTTATAGGGTACCCTATGCCAGCGCTTTTTAAAAGCGCTTTCGTAGGTTGTTTTTATATTAAAATTAAAAATCCCTAAATCTGTTCTTTAGTCTTCCTCATTTCTTTCGTTCAGAGCTTCCTCATTGCCGTCGCCGCCGTTCGTCTTAAGCTTTTCAGCCTCCGTTGGTCACCCCCACCGTCTACACCCTTTCCAACCACAATTCCGCTCCATCAACTCCTTCCAGTACACCTACAACGAGCTTCCCCTGTCTTCCTCTAGCTATGCCACCATTTCCGGTATCTTAGAAGTGAAAAGCTTTGCGTCAATCTCAGTTATCATCATCAGGTATCATCAATTCTTCACTACCCAGATGCTAATTCCTCTTTACTTGTTGAATGCTGAATATTCCTAATCATGACATGTTTATTCTGTGCAAATGTTTCTTTAATGAAAATGATCTTTACAGTGTTCTTCACTATCCATTTCAATTGTTTTCAACAACAAACAAGCTAAAGCTCTCAAGATTTAAGGTATCACTATCTTTTGATGCTTCACTAAGTAAGTCATTTGTGATGGATGTCAAGGAAACTTGTGTATTTTTATACTCTTCATTCAACAGTTTCTTCAAACTAATGTCAAAGAAACTAATGTCATTGTTCTTGTTTACCCTAACCAATTGATATTTTCGCATTCCAGGAGAACAATTTCTTTCTCTCGTTCAATTGCTTAAGTAATCTCTCTCATTCAAGTAATCTCAATCCTCCAGAGGCCTTCACGAACTGGTTTTTAGAAGTCCATCTTCTTCATCTAACTTGCTTCCTTCCTCTTAAATCTTAAGTAAGATTTAACATTGTTTTTAAAAATTAATCTTGAAGTAATCTTGTGTTGTTGTAGGTTGGTGTTTTAGTTTGAAGTATAATATTGTGATAATGTGATAATGTGTTTTTGGTTTGTTTTATTAAGTTGATGTTCTGGTTTGAAGTATTGTGTTTGTATTGTGATAATGTGATAATTTTTTTTAGTTTGGTGTCTTAGAAGTTGAAATTTTGTAAACTTTAATTATTAGTTACATAAGACATTAATAGAAAAATGGTAGTGTTTATTTTTTAATTTGTTAGGAGTAGAAGGAATTTGTTTATATTAGAGGTGGTTATATTTTTAATGCGCTATAATGTAGTGGAATTGGAATTTAGAGAATTGGTACTTACTAATATGTGTAAGATTGGAACTTAGATAATTTTGAGATTTTGTTGTGTTGTGTTAATTTATTTAATTGATTATGCATCACAAAAGTGATAATGAAGAGTAGAAAAAATGATTCTTTTTTCAATAGGAAAGAAATAGATGAAGAGAACTTAACTCCTATGTTAGAATCTCAAGGAGAGTTCTTGATAATCCAAGAATTAAAGAAAACTGGCAGGAACACACGCACCCAATGACAGCTTGACTAATAATAATGGGTTACAAGCAGTCGTAAGATTGGGAGGCAAAGTTGATCTCTTGGGAAAGGCTTGAGACATGAGAGTGTATTTCTCTCTAGCTTTTAGGATCAAATTATGTTATGTGCTAATAATTTATGTGTTAGGGACGGTCTATATAGAACTTTGTTCTAATTTTAAATGAGTCCCCTATTAGTAGTGGAAGTAATAGGATGGCCTTGAATCTGTGCAATTTAAGAATTCCAGTTATGAAAGTCATGGACATGCCTTCCAAAACAACATCAAGAATGGGGAGGGAATGTATTTGCTGTAGTAACCAGCAGGTGCCATTGTATTTTTGTTAAACAATACATGAACAATGAAAAGTAGTATCAACTAGAATCCTAGATCAGTAATCACATACATCTTGTTATTTCATTGTTTTTATAATGGGTAATATTATAACCTATGTGGCCTATATTATATCTCCAAGAAAATTCATATAATAAAACAATCAAACATGACAATGGATATGTATATTCTGCAATTCATAACACACAATAAAAGAAAACAGAAAATCAAGAAATGAAACTGTTATTTCCCACCCATAACAAACAATGTAGACTAGATAGTGTGACATTCAAATTCAGCATAAATCAGGTCTAGTTCTCTTACAAACCGAAATGCAACCCTTATGTTGATCCCTCAAGATCCTAATCTCACAACACTCCCTCAAATCCTCAAGACTCACATACTGTTGTTTCACCATCCTCAAAGAACCACCCCCTACATCATGAATCCATATATAAGGTTGACAAGTCTCATCATAGTAATACAACAAACTCTTCAATCCCACATCATTGCTTCCACTTCTCCCAGGCATATAAGCCTTATATATCCCTTTACTTTTCACTCTCTTCGAACACCCTGCCTTCAAAATATGAACCTTCTTCAGTATTGATCCTACCCTTATCTGCAATTCCACTGGCCTATCATTATATTATATATCTTTTTTGGTGAATATCATTATATTATATATCTTTTTTTGAATTTCTTTTCAATATGCTTGAAATAGATAGATCAATCAATGTCTCTAATATTGCTCTTTAGATATTGTTTAACATCCAGCATATGGCTTAGTAGTAGTAAGCTTAGATGCTGAGTTTGTATAGTTAAGAGTGTGAATCTGCTGAAATTAAATGCTGAGTTTGTATAGTGAAGTGAAAATATGGATTAAGGGATAAAATGTGTATAATTGATATTGATATAACTGTAATCATAGTAATCACTAATTACATCCTAACCCCCCAAAAACTTTCTATCATTGTTATTTTTACTTTATATTTTTTTATGTTCAAAACATTTTTCAAACAAAGCTCTTGTTTGCTTAGAATAGTAATTATTACATATAAATTGTATTATCATATTTCCTCGTGGACTCATAATTTTAGTCATTGTATTTTGATATTTGTTGACACATCTCCTACACATACAATAAAAATTTTAAACAAGACTATCAAAAATTAAGTTCAAACTTAAAACATCTTTTTATTTAAAAAATTAATATTCATGATGTCAATTTCGTTTATCGTTAAGTGAGGTACTTACTAACTTTGTGAATTGAATTCGCCATAGGGGTTACTTGTGAAGAGTGAAAGTTTGACCGTTTTTGTTTAGCTTAATTAAGACATGGATAAGACATGGATGAATTCAAACCGATTGTCGAAAGAGTACGAGAAAGGGGTATGGGAATTTGTTGAGTTTGCGGTTGCGCACTCCAAAGACCCGCTTCGAATGCCGTGTCCTTGCTTGGGTTGCTGTTATGCCGGGGGTAAGGTTGACGGGAATCAGTTGGGATCTCATTTACTACGGTTTGGAATTGATAGAAGTTATACATGTTGGACAATGCATGGTGAGAAAAGTACCGGGAATGCTGAGTCGAGTTGTAATAGGAAGTATGCTTCAAACGACGATTGCACAGACACATACGATTGTGATCGAGTCGAAGAGATTGCA